TGTTATATAGAGGTACCCATAGGTCTTCATGGGCTATTATATGGAGGTACTCATAGATCCTCAAGGGCTATTATATGGAAGTACCCATAGGTCCTCAAGGACTATTTTATGGAGGTACCCATAGTTCCCCAAGGGCTAGCCTATGAAGGTACCCATAGGCCCTTAAGGACTATTTGATGGGGGTATCCATAGGTCCTCAAGCGCTATTATATGAGGGCACCCATGGATTCTCAAGGGCCATCCTATAGGGTACCCATAGGCCCTGAAGGGTGTAAGACAATAAAGTGATAAGGCTACAAGAGGTACACGGAATATAAGGCTATAAGGACATAAGGCTACATGGACTATAAGAATATGTACGATATAAGAGTACGAGACCGTGAGGCTTCGATCTATATAGATAATATCGCGTATCTGTATGTCTGTTATCGAATGAAAAGTTAAACGTCTGAAGTCATACGTTAAAGGAGAAATCAGTCGTGCAGTATGCACGGGTTCTCGCTAGTATCTTTAAAATCCGTGGTCAGCTTCGAGTGTTCTGGAAAGATCTGTTGTCCGAACTGTATTAGCATTTAGCCTCAAGTTTTATGAGTTTTTGCTGTTGAAATTTGATGTAATTCTTGCGACGCTTCGATCAGATATTGTCAAGAAACAGTTATTTTCCTCACGTCATGTCATGCTCTCATAGAAGGATTTATGGATTAAGCTTGTGTATTACAAAAATTAATAATCTAATAAAAACTATATGGTTGTTTTCGAAATTCATATCCATAGTTTATTTACATTATTTACAAAGGATGTTATAATTAAACTAGCTGTATCATAAAAACATTGCGTATCTGAGACAATCATTAGACCATTTTTGCATTGTCAAGGAAGGAGAACAAATCTGAAATAAGTTTTCCCTGGTTTAAGAACAAAGCATGACATGACAAAAGGACAGCCTTGCTCTGTGACGGTTTCTTTTTTTCCGATTAAATACTAGTGTCATGAGGCATAATCCTATATTAAGATATGATAGCGTCCTACTAAGTGCATAAGTTCCGAATAGATCTAATCATATTTCAGACATATTTTCCCTTATCTCGATGAAAAAAAATATATATCGCACCACGGAGAATCTGTTCTTCAGCATCATTCACGGACAAGTTCCAATATTCTTGTGTGCGATCAGTGTGCACTACTCAGTTGATTTAAGATGAAGACTTGTTTCAACAAAAACTCTAGGAGGAAACAGCTGATGTTTTTGATTTAAATTAAAAAAAAACGAAAAAAGTCAACAAAACTGACAAAAATCAACAAAAAATCATTAAAAAATCAACAAAAATCAGAAGAATTTTTAATCTTTATTGTTCAAATTATCAATCAAAAGTCCAGCAGCTGATGAAATCAGATTTTATTGGTTTCTGTGATTTTTTTGACTTTTTTAATTTCTTTTTGATTTTTTTGATTTAAAATCGATTGATTTAAATCAAAAACAATCAGAAAAAATTAAAAATTAAAAAAAATCTGATTTCAGCTGTTTCCCCTTAGATAACTATTCGGAAATGGATAAGTGCATATCCGCCTTCTGCTTCCATCCAGCTTATTCCATAATGTACTGCTATATTCATCCATCGGATTTCCTTGGAAAATGCACTACTCTATTCTCCGATCGTAATACATCGGTATATATATAGTGCCCTATTTTTCCACCGGATTTCGTCGGAAATCGTAGGGCTTCATTCTTCCGTCGGATTTCATCGGAAATCGTAGGGTCTCATCCTTCCGTCGGATTTCATCGGAAATCGTAGGGCTTCATTCTTCCGTCACATTTCGCCGGAAATTGCAGGACTTATCTTGTTTATCAAAGACTATGTACAGCCATACATCCATCGCTGATTTGATATTATTTCGTATCTGAATCTCCACACATGAGGTTGCATGTCAGTTGGATTTCATCGAAACTTGTAGGACTTTATTCTTTGTATCAAACAATCGGCATGCCGATGCCTTAGCAATTGATCATACATTATTTTATAACAAAATCCTCAAAGAGAAAGTTCCACTTCCGTCAGATTTCATCGGATGATAACGTATAGCGATCCTCGAATAGTAGATTTTCTATTATTGCAAATCCAAATGTCCAAAGAGAAAGCTCTGCTTTCGTCCGATTTCATCGGAAATTGTAGGATTTCATTTTTGTGTCATCGAATAATGAAAAGCCATTTCTGAGTGGTGAATTTTATATTATTTTAAATCTAAATGTCCAAATATAAAATTCTACTTCAGTCCGATTTCATTCGAAATTGTAGGACTACATTTTTATGTCTTCGAACAATCAATAGCCCTCTCAGCGTAGTAAATTTTATATAATTCAAAATCTATATCTCGCAATAGAAAGTTCTGCTTCGGTAGGATTTCATACGAAATTGTAGGATTACATTCTTATACCTTCGAATCGTCAATAGGTATCTCTCAGTACTAGATTTTACATTATTTTACATCTAAATCTTCAAACGCAAAGCTCTCCTTCCATCAGGTTTCGTCGGGAATTGTAGGATTTCATTTTTCTGTCTTCGAACAATCCCTACACATCTCTGAGTGCAAAATTTTATATTACTCCAAATCTATATGTCGAAATATAAAGCTCTCCTCCCGTCGCATTTCATTTTTATGTATTCGAATAATGAACAGCCATAGCTGAGCGGCAGATTTTATCTAATTCTACACCGATATCTCGCAAAAGAAAGTTCTGCTTCCGTCGGATTTCATCGGAAACTGAAGGATTTCATTTTTGTCTCAAGCAAGAGGAAATAGCCGTCCTGGGACTGTGAATTTTATATTTTCTATATCCAAATGTTTCAATACAAAGATGTACATCCGTCGGATTTCATCAGAAATTCTAGGTTTCATTTTTCTCTCAAACAACAAGGCGTAGCCATTCTTGCGCTCTAAATTTTATATTTTCTATATCTAAATGTTCACATACAAATATGTACATCCGTCGGATTTCGTCGGAAATTGTAGGATTTCATTTTTC